CTGAAGCCGACTTCAACATGTTTTCGCTTGCATTTGGCGGTCCAGGCTAGTATTAGTCCACCAATACAGTAATCGGTTTTGGGCTTAAATTCCTCACTATTTTAGTAAATATCAAGAAGTTTATACTATTCAATAATTTTAAAGTTTAATATTAACCTTTTAGTCATTTTAACAATTATTGAACATAATTGAAGGTAAGAAACTAGTTTCTGGCGTGCCATCCAGCCTGTTAACACACCAGACAGGCGTTAGTCTCTCTCTGTTTTTCAGTGGGTAACATCTTGCTTGAGACTCTCTTCAATTAGCTTTTTTCTGTGTTTCCAAGTAAATTATTGGTCATTTTGAAATATATTTTACATATTGACAATATATAATGCAGTGCAGTGTTGATTTGAAAATAATCTTGAATTACACCAAGAGATCTAAAATTTTTTGGGTGAAATGGTGCCATGGGGTGACTTCTCTTCCCACCCCAATGCTTTCTCTTCTCCCTTCTCCTCCACCCCATTCTAATTCCCATCATCATCATCATCCAGGAGCCTTCTAAACACACCTCAGAGTAAGTGTACTTTTCTACCTTTTTGTGGAATTTAGTTAATTTTCGGTGAGCTGGAACCAATTACCCAAAAACCCATTGAAACAATGGTTTTGGTTACAAGTTTTCGGTTAACGAGCAACTGCTGGAAGCAGTTGTGCCGTTAACCGAGACCTGTATGCTATACAGACAGACCCCGACTTGACTGCTACGACTTACGACCGTCGGGACTTCACGACCGCCGCGAGATTTTTATTATTTTTTTTTTTTTTATAAATGACGCATTTTCTATACCGAAACGTTTCCAGTTAATGTAGTCTCCATGTATAATTAATTATGGGGCCCCATGTGCATTCAGCTGACTACATTAAAGGTAAGTGCTCAGTCACACTGTAACCATTCCTTATTATTTATTACTTTCACTGTACTGTATCCATTCCTCATTATTCATTACTTTTTACTGTACTGTATTTCATTGTAGATTATTTATTTAAAATTTATCAATGGGACTTCGACCTGGATTTGGTCCCTAACCCCGTCGTGAAGTCGGGGTCTATCTGTACTGCACTAGACAAAATTTTTAGTAATTATTTAGTACATCACTTTGAGTACATGTACAGTTCAGCTTTGCCCAGAAAACATTAGCATAAAATTTAAAATATGATCATGAATTGACTCAGCGCAAAAATAGGAAAGATTAACTTTAAATTAAAACATTGTCCTTAATTGTGGGTGTAGCTTTAAATCAATAATCTTAAATTGAATCGAAAATTGACATTCTACTGTATCAATTAATTTTAAAATAGAAATTATAATATAAAATGTTATAAGACAATGGTTTAGTAATACTGATAATGTGTATGTGTTGTGTAAGTGTCTTGGCATGTCACCTCACCACCTGACTCCTGAACAAACTCTTCATAAACTTTTTTCTTGGAGCTCAAAACACACACACACACACATACATGGTAATTAAAACAACAAGCATCCAGTGAGAGGGTCTTGTTGTGTGACTGCATAAGGCAAATTAAAATATCAGCTGTTGAGCTTATCGACGGCAACACTTGGTGCATGTTATCACTCCTTTCCACTCCATCTCTCTAATCACCCTCACCTTTCTGATTTCTCACTCCATATTTTAAAATGTAATGAAATGTTGAAGGGATACAACTTTGCTCATTTATACAGTCGAACCTCGTTAAAACGGACTAATAGGGAAGGGTGTCGTTTAGCCGATTGTCCGAATTAACCGATTAAGGGGTTAATATTGCATTATATTTCAAAGTCATTGTTTTCGTCACGATTTTATCCCACTTTCCATGTAATACGTCGTAATTTCAGCAAAAATATTACATTTCCGTGAATGTATTATATCAAGCACAGTATGAATAGAATACCATTGTAAAATAACAGTATTTTAACGAAAACTACTAATAAAGCGAATAACATCTCAAGAACATCGGAAGGTTAGGTAAATTCTTTGTTTTTCGTCATGTATTTTATCCTATTTTACATTGAAATACATCACGTTTCAGCAAAACTACTATTTATTTCCAAGAATATATTCATTCAGGCGCAGTTTAGGTAAAATATACGTGTGATGTAACAGTTTTTTAACTGAAAACGATTCGAAAAACACGTACCCTCTAGCCCTGTTCATGGGTGGCGGTAATAAAGTCACAGGAAAAAAAGTCACAGAAAAAAAATCACAATTTTGGCTAGGAAAAAAGTCACAGGAAAAAGTCACATTTAAGGTCATGAAACTAAAAAATATTTAAAACCGTTATTAACTGACAATACATGACTTTTACATATTGACAACACAATTTATATGTGATGCACGTAGGTTAGGTTAGGTTAGGTTAGGTAAGGTGACTTTTTTCTGTGTCTTTTTTCTGTGACTTTTTTCCTGTGACTTTTTTTCCTGTGACTTTTTGTCTGTGACTTTTTTACCTGTGACTTTTTTACCTGGATTCGTTCAAGGAGAGGACTGGGAGAAGCTGTTTGGTGCTGCAGACGACGACAAGGAAAATGATTTGGATGGATTTTTATGAAAATATTCAGAAATATGGTATCGTAGTATTTATTCAAGTCAATTAGGATAGGATATTAATGTAATACAACAGTGTTTTAACTGAAAACCAATCGAAAAGCGATTACGGTAACATCTTTTGAACGAAAAGAAAGCGAGTCATTGTTTTCGTCACGATTTTATCCACTTTCCACTAATACCTACGTCATTTCAGCAAAAATATTACATTTCCGTGAATGCATTATATCAAGCACAGTATGAATAGAATACCATTGTAATATAACATTATTTTAACCAAAAACTATTAAAAACGAGTAACTTCTCTTGAACATCGGAAGGTTAGTTAAAGTCTTTTGTTTTCGTCATGTATTTATCCTATTTTACATTAAAATACATCACGTTTCAGCAAAACTACTATTTATTTCCGAGAATATATTCATTCAGAGCGCAGTTAATGGTATTACATGTGATGTAACAGTTTTAACTGAAAACGATTCGAAAAACAGTACCGTGTAGCTGATACTCAACAGCTGGTGGTGCGTCATGTATTAGTTGTAAACAATAGGAGGTTGAAGTAGATTACGGGTATTATATTAAGTGTGAAATATCAAAAGGTTTTTATTAGGTATTTTTGTAGATCAATGGGTACTGATACCGTATATGATATGATAAGTTAGCCTGTGCTAAGAACTTCAACATAGACAACTGAAAACACATTGTAAGGTAATTTAGCCTGTTGTAAGTTGGCGAAGCTTCATTTGCTGAAGGAACTGCACAACTTTTCATTACTAATTGGTACAAATTTACGTTTCCATTGTTTACTGGCAGTAAATGGTAAATATTTTTCATGTCTGAAGCTAAAAGTTGCATCCCCCACTAGTGGTGATGTTACATTTGACCAAAAAACGCTGGTGTTTTATCCCAGCAGTGGGTGGACCAGCATTTTAGCTTAAGGTCTGTAGGTAATATTCCTACAAATCTTAAAAAAAAAAATTCGTTCAGATTTTGTCCGAATTATCCGAAATCAGGATTAAAGGGGTCCGAATTAACGAGGGTCGACTGTACTTATACTTACCACAATCTCCATTAAAATAAATTGGGTTTCGTGTTTTTATTCAGGTAGTAGGCAGCTATCAAACAGGGAGGTACTATCACCTGGGAAGATGTTGGAAGCATAATGTGTGGTCTAATGGTAGACCCTACTGCCATATGGTACCACAAAAATTGTGACCAAGTCCCAGGTTGCTGATCTGACTTTCTGCCTCATTTACACACAATTTACTAATTGTTTCTCTTACTATTGACAACACAACATACACACTGTATATCGTTTCTCACTCTTGATTAATTTTTTTGTTTGTGTGTTTATTTATGGTTATTATTACTGTTATTTTTATTTTGGGGTTATAATTTTTATCTATTTTTATTAATTATTATTAAATATTATTATTATTATTATTATTATTATTATTATTATTATTATTATTATTATTTCCCCCCCCAGGCCCTGATATGGGTCAGTGACCTATGCTCAGGTGGGCTAATCCCTGCAAAAAAAAAAAAAAAAATCTTCAGGCCATGAGACCCACTAATCACCCACCCAAGAAAGGGTGACCTGACATTCCATCAGAAGGTCAGTAATATGAGACCACTAATCCCCCACCTACACCTCCACCTGACATTGAGTCAGGTCAGGTCAGGTCCCCCAAAAAAAAAAAAATTTTAACTTTCATCTTTATTCAAGACATTTTCAGAAAATTCTCTTGATTTTCAACCTCGGAAATTTTTTCCTAAAGTCGGAAATTTTGGGAAAATTCCAGCTTTGGGAATGATTTTCCGAGCAAATTTCAATTCTGACTATCTGTGATTTTGGGGTTTGAGGGATTCCGGCTAACGGAGATATTACTGTACACTACAATGTATACAAGGACAATGTTCCAATCTGGTTGTGCATCAGTTGTTGGAAATGGTGAGTGGTGTGAAGTTCCTTGTGAGAATCTTGTGTTAATGTCATCTTGCAATCTCACCACACATATTTTAGTTAAGATGGCTTTTATTATTTTAATATAATCTCTTATGTTAATTAAGTTTACAAACATGACTTCCACTATGTAATATTTTTGGCAGGAGTTACTGGTGCTGACTGAGTATTAGATGATGATTTCACTCTGCCTGCAGTCACATGATTTAAGGTTCACATTTTAAACTTGGAAAATAAGATGACCCATACATAGGGACTTTCTTAAAGATTCAAAAGTCATTATATATGCCACTTTATATATGGTATAGTTACTTCCATTACTAATTATTCTTTCTTTTCTTTTCCTTTTTTATACATGTATTGTACATCATTCTACCACACAGTCTGTCACATTCTTTTATCTAAGTTATCTTAGAAATTCTGAGTTTACTTTCTTTATCAAAACATCTTACTTGGAATAGATGACGTCTGAGGTTTAGATGTCATTGTATCTGTCGCTACTGACTGCTGGGTCTGTTGGTTAACCATCAGGGGTTGCATGACAGGAGGTCTTTGTCCTGGCCCTCCTGGCCATGGACCCACCTAGGAACTGCATTTGTGCCCGCACCAGTTGTATCTGATAGATTGGAGTATAAATCAACATAATATTTAGCTAACTACTCATCATACAGTTCTTCTCAATTCTTCCTATAAATTTCACTAGACACAAACTATAAATAAAAAATAATTGTAAATAATATTAAATGCAGAAATCAATCAGACTGCTTGAAAATCTAATGAAAGACATTAAAAGATGATTATTGAAAAGCTACAAAATAACTTGGCTCAACACAGAATACCTGTTCTTTGATCCTACACACAAACTTAGATTGCAGAGAGGTACAGTCACCCAAAAAAGTCCTGTCTCCTCTAATCCTGAACCACGAACCCTGAGATTCAGACTCATGAACCCGAAGCAGTAGACACTGATACATTATTCTGTCCATAAATGCTTCGGATTCAAGAGTCTGAATCTCAGGGTTCATGGTTTAGAGATGGTCAGGACTTAGGGTGACTGTACATACACACAAACAGGAGGGAACCAGTATGCTCTGCTCTATACACAGATGACAGTAAATCCTGCTCAATCTATTGCTTTTCTCTCCACAATTATATAAAAAATGTGTGAAATAAACATCTTCAAGGTAAGAAATAAAATATGTAAAAAAAATAAAAATACAGTACTCTGTATAGCTAAACCTCTATTTACGATGTCCCAATCTACAATAATTTGTGTTAACGATGCTTATATATTATGACCACTTATTGCGATGTAAACAAACTCACATTAAGGACACTCGTCACCCCACCAACTCGCCAAGTTGCCATATGGAACACATCACTCACTTCATTTGTCAGCTGAGGTACCATCTACCTGAATGCCACCTCGTGGCCATCTCAGTGAACTGCAGTCCAGTCATTGTTTCTTCTTGGTTACAAGTGTGTAAGAAATGGCACTCAATGTTTATCAGCCATCATCATTTTTTTTTCAGCATAGATCCATGTTTATTAAAGTTCATATGGTACTCCATTTTAGTGAATGTGAAGTGATTTTTGCTATGTTTTTTGTGACTAAAAAGTGCTTTGGCTGTATTGTTGTGAATAGAAGGCGAGAGCACCAACCGGTATCATTGTTTTTATTTTATCAGTGTTCATTTTTTCCCTTACAGATATAAGAAATTACAAAGTTTCAGTGTGCTATACTATACTGCTGGTACAGTACATGTACTGTACCCAGTTTTAGTGACTGAGTTGTTTTCTCTGCTTTAGCAACTGTGAGATGCTTTCATTCTGACAGTGAAGTGCACTAGCAACTGTGAGATGCTTTCACTCTGACTGTGAAGTGGTTTAGTGATTGTGAGATGCTTTCACCCTGACTGTGAGGTGCTCTAACAACTGTGAGATGCTTTCCCTCTGTTTTTGTGACAGTGAAGTGAGCAACATAATTTTGAAAATGTCTGGCAAGTATTTTGTTCACCATCTTTAAGGCCAAGAGCCAGTCCCCGCTCTTCAGACTCCCCAAAGTCTGTGTGGGACGCAGGTTGATGTCTACACTCCACCTTAAGAGTCCCCTTAGCCTCGAAGGGGACATGTGATGACGACCAGACCCTTTCTCCTCTACTCTAATCTCTCGTCTATCTTCTCTACTCTCTCTCTATTCTCTGCCCTCTATCTCTCTTCTTCTTCTCTTTCTCTCTTTTATTTCTGTCTCTTTTATCTTTCTCTTTTATTTCTGTCTCTTTTATCTTTCTCTTTTATTTCTGTCTCTTTTATCTTTCTCTTTTCTTTCTGTCTCTCTCTCTCTCTCTCTCTCTCTTTTATCGCTCTTTTCTCTATACACTCTCTCTCTTCTCTATGCTCTCTCTCTCTTCTCTACTCTCTCTCTCTTCTCTACTCTCTCACTCTCTTCTCTACTTTCTCTCTTCTCTATTCTCCTCTCTCTCTTCTCCTCTCTCTCTCTCTCTCTCTCTCTCTCTCTCTCTCTCTCTCTCTCTTTCTCTACTCTCTCTCTCTCTCTTTCTCTACTCTCTCTCTCTCTCTCTTTTCTCTACTCTCTCTCTTCTCTACTCTCTCTCTTCTCTACTCTCTCTCTCTTTTCTCTACCTCTCTCTCTCTCTCTCTCTCTCTCTCTTCTCTCTCTCTCACTCTCTTCTCCTACTTTCTCTCTCTTCTCCTATCTCTCTCTCTCTTCTCTACTCTCTCTCTCTTTCTCCACTCTCTTCTCTACTCTCTCTCGTCTCTCTCTCTCTCTTCTCTACTCTCTCTCTCTTTCTCTACCTCTCTCTCTTCTCTACTCTCTCTCTCTCTCTTCTCTACTCTCAATCTCTCTTCTCTATTCTCTCTCTCTTCTCAACTCTCTCTCTCACCTCTACTCTCTCCTCTACTCCTCTCTCCTTCTCAATCTCTGTCTTCTCCTACTCTCACCTTCTCTAATCTCTCTCTTCTCAACTCTCTCTCTCTTCTCTACTCTCTCTCCTTCTCTAATCTCTCTTCTCTACTCTCTCACCTTCTCTAATCTCTCTTCTTCTCTCTCTCTCTCTCTTCTCTACTCTCACTCTCTTCTCCTCTCTACCTCTACTCTCTCTCCTTCTCCTAATCTCTCTCTTCTCCTCTCTCTCTTCTCTACTCTCTCACCTCTACTCTCTCTCCTTCTCTAATCTCTCTCTTTCTCCTCTCTCTAACCTCTACTCTTTCTCCTTCTCTAATCTCTCTCTTCTCCTCTCTCTCTCTACCTCTACTCTCTCGCCTCTAATCTCTCCTTCTCTTCTCTCTCTTCTCAACTCTCTCTCTTTCTCTACTCTCCACCTCTCTTCTCTCTACACCTCTCTCTCTCCTCTTCTCCTAATCTCTCTCTTCTCTACTCTCTCCCCTCTTCTCTCTCTCCTTCTCTAATCTCTCTCTTCTCTGTCTCTCTCTTCTCTACTCTCTCTTCTCCCTTCCTCTCTCCTACTCTCTCTCCTTCTCTAATCTCTCTCTTCTCTCTCTCCTCTTCTATCTCTCCTTCTCTAATCTCTCCTTCTCTAATCTCTCTTCTCTCTCTCTCACCTCTACTCTCTCTCCTTCTCTAATCTCTCTCTTCTCTCCTCTCTCCACCTCTACTCTTTCTCCTTCTCTAATCTCTCTTCTCTACTCTCTCTCCTTTCTCTCTCTCCTTCTTAATCTCTCTCTCTTCTCTACTCTCTCACCTCTACTCTCTCTCCTTCTCTAATCTCTCTTCTCTCTCTCCACCTCTCTTTCTCCTTCTCTACTCTTTCTCCTTCTCTAATCTCTCTCTTCTCTACTCTCTCACCTTCTCTCTCTCTTCTGCTCTCTCCTCTACTCTTCTCTTCTCTAATCTCTCTCTTCTCCACTCTCACCTCTACTCTCTCTCCTCCTAATCTCTCTCTTCTCTACTCTCTCACCTTTACTCTTTCTCCTTCTCTAATCTCTCTCTCTACTCTCTCACCTTCTCTCTCCTTCTGTATCTCTCTCTTCTCTCTCTCCTTTACTCTTTCTCTTTACTCTCTCCTCTCTCTTGTCCTTCTCTACTCTCTCACCTCTCTCTTTCTCCTTCTCTAATCTCTCTTCTCTACTCTCTCTTCACTACTCTCTCTCCTCTAATCTCTCTCTTCTCTACTCTCTCCTCTACTCTCTCTCCTTCTCTAATCTCTCTCTTCTCCTACTCTCTCACCCTCTCTCTCTCTCCTTCTCTAATCTCTCTCTTCTCTACTCTCTCCCCTCTTCTCTCTCTCCTTCTCTAATCTCTCTCTTCTCTACTCTCTCACCTCTACTCTCTCTCCTTCTCTAATCTCTCTTCTCTCTCTCCTACTCTCTCTTCTCTGCTCTCTCACCTTTACTCTTTCTCCTTCTCTATTCTCTCTCTTCTCTCTCTCTCTCCACCTCTTCTCTCTCTCTCTTCTCCTCTCTCTCACCTCTACTCTCTCTCCTTCTCTAATCTCTCTCTTCTCTACTCTCACCTCTTCTCTCTCTCCTTCTCTAATCTCTCTCTTCTCTCTCTTTCTCACCTCTACTCTCTCTCCTTCTCTAATCTCTCTTCCTCTCTCTCTCTCTCTCTCTCCTTCTCTAATCTCTCTCTTCTCTCTCTACCTCTCTCTCTCCTTCTCTAATCTCTCTCTTCTCTACTCTCTCCCACCTCCTCTCTCTCCTTCTCTATCTTTCTCTTCTCTCTTCTCACCTCTACTCTCTCTCCTTCTCTTCTCTCTCTTCTCCTACTCTTCTTTCTCCTTCTCTACTCTCTCTCTACTCTCTCTCCTTCTCTAATCTCTCTCTTCTCTACTCTCTCCCCTCTCTCTTTCTCCTTCTCTACTCTCTCACCTCTACTCTCTCCTTCTCTAATCTCTCTCTTCTCTACTCTCTCACCTCTACTCTCTCTCCTCTAATCTCTTCTTCTCTACTCTCTCACCTCTCTCTCTCTTACTCTTCTCCTTCTTTCTTTCTCTCTCTCTCACCTCTACTCTCTCTTCTCTAATCTCTCTCTTCTCTACTCTCTCACCTCTACTCTCTCCTTCTCTAATCTTTCTCTTCTCTACTCTCTCACCTCTACTCTCTCTCCTCTATCTCTCTCTTCTCTACTCTCTCACCTCTCTTTTCTCCTTCTCTACTCTCTCTCCTCTCTCTCCTTCTCTAATCTCTCTCTTCTCTTCTCCTCTTCTTTCTCTTCTCTGCTCTCTCACCTCTACTCTCTCTCCTTCTCTAATCTCTCTCTTCTCTACTCTCTCACCTCTACTCTCTCTCTAATCTCTTCTTCTCTCTCTCTCACCTCTCCTCTCCTTCCCTCTCTCTCTCCTTCTCCTAATCTCTCTCTTCTCTACTCTCTCTCTCACCTCCTACTCTCTCTCCTTCTCTAATCTCTCTCTTCTTACTCTCTCCTCTCTCTCCTTCTCTAATCTCTCTCTTCTCTACTCTCTCACCTCTCTCTCTCCTTCTCTAATCTCTCTCTTCTCTACTCTCTCACCTCTACTCTCTCTCCTCTAATCTCTGTCTTCTCTACTCTTTCACCTCTCTCTCTCCTCTACTCTCTCTCCTTCTCTACTCTCTCTTCCTTCTCTCTCTTCTCTCTCTCTACTCTCTCACCTC